TTAGGATCTATTCATATTCAATAGCATATTGGCATAAGCCTACCTCTGGCTGATAAAGGCCGGTTTTGTTTGGTATCCCTCCCTGAGTTTCCGGTAAACTCTGTATAGCAATAATAACTTTCTTTTGATCAATACGAAAAGGGCAACTAAGAAAATAGTGATCATTTTTACCTAGACAGCTCCAATCACCCATATTCCTAAACGTGTATATACCTTTTTATATATTGAGCATGAAGCTTCCGAATCAGTATATTTAAAAGCATCTTTGTACCATGCATTTGATTTAGTATACCTCAAGAAAGAGAATCATTTCTGTACTGCTTTATAGATTGTATTTTTATCTTCTAGAAACTTGAAAATCTTGATAATGCAATCTTGTGAGATATAATTACTCTCTTCAATTTGTGAGGATTCGGAAGTTTCAGAGTTTATCCAGGAATCAAGTCCAGTTTCATCTGTATAACTTTCATATAAAATATCACGAAACTCATCTGTCAATGAATTTAGCAGGCCAGTTAGTTGAAGAAGCCATTTATTGTAGTCGCCAGTTAATATTTTCTTGCCAAAGGAAATCACAGGGTAGTTAGATAAATAAGACATGTTATCATTTTATATAGTTATAAATCAATTTAAATCATGCATTAGATATTATAAAAAAAATATCTTTTAGAGAAAGCATTAAATACGGTCTTGTTTTTTATCACAAGTATTGAAAAGACGATTACACAGTTATCTCAATTTCATACTTTCCACATTTAATAAAATAAGATCTAGCTCTATATCTACCTTTAATACTTTTCTCATCTTTATGATTTAGCTTGCATGCTGGACATAATGACTTATCAATAATTCCATAATAATCGAATTTTTCACTACTAAATTCTCTATATATATCAGGATATCGATCTAGTATTTTATTATGAAAATAAACGCGATCATAGGTCGGATTAGATGATACACTTGTATGATCTATAGATGGAATCTTATTTTCTGGTAATATATTATTAGATGAAGCACTTACCTCAGTTTTTAGTGAGACTTTCTCAGTAAGAGGTTTCAGGACCGTCATATCGGCTCATGTTGAGGTAGGTGATATACTAATATTGTCTTTCGAATTGGAAGAATCAGAGACATGAGATATAGACGATTCGCTTGCCTTGGTTTCAGCAGTTATATGGCTCTGATTGTGAATTTTATTTAATAGTACATGATTTATAATATTTTGAATTTGGGAATAGGAAAGGTTAGAAATTGCATTTGCACTATATGAAACTTGTTTAATCTTTTCTACTCCTACTGCATTAAAAAGCATTTTTATTTTTCTGGCTCTAAGAAGTTTTTGATGCAGATTCACATCTGTGATTTCAGAGAAAAGCCATTTTACTTCATCATATACTATACTCATTGCTTTTTTCTTACTGACGTTCTTATCAGCAGAAACTTTATCTGCTCTTTTGTCATATTTTTCTGCAAAATAGTGCCAACATGAAATGATATTTTGACTTGATCGAATGGCCTCTCGAAATATATAAACTATGCTTTGCGTTGAAACTGAAGATGGATCGAGAATCTGTGAATCTATATCTCTGACTAATACTTCTTTATTTTCAGCTGTGCTGGCTCCGCCAATAATTACAGAAAGCTGTTGCATTAACTCTTGTTTAACAATCAAATTTTTCTCTATAGGGGAAATAAGTTCATCACTCTGTTCAGATTCACTAAGTGTAACAAAACTGGAGCTGATAGCAACAGTTGATAGATCTGAATTCTGAACAAGTTTTCCGTGAATTTTATTCATGCAAATTTCATCTCATGTTTTTTCTTCAGTAAACTTCTTCTCCCTGTTCCTCTGTTTTATCTCATTACTAACCCTTTTCTTATCCTCTGAATCTAAAAATTTGTTGATCTCTATATCTTCCGATGATTTATATTCTATGGTGATTGTTGATACAGAACATCGGTATTCACTAGTGCATTTGTGCTGAGTCTTGCCATGAAGTGGCAATGCCCCACACTTGACTCCTGGTTTACATCAGATCTAATTACATCCGCTGTAGACAGACAAGGTCTGATAGTTGTATCAACTATCTGTTTGGGAGTATTAACTTGGCATGAATGTACCAGCTCACGCTGAGAATCATTATTAATACTTTGGTCCCGCTTCTCGATTTTATCAACGGCTTGTTCTAGCTTAACGATTTTGGCTTTAAACTCAGCATTTTCTTCTATGATCTGTTTTAATTTTGTATTCTCGTGTTTAAGCTTCGCATTCTTAGCCTTAACCTCAGCGTTCTCATCTTCGAGCTCAGTGATGCATTGTTTTAACAAATCTAATTCGGATTGCATATTCGATAATAGTTTTTTTATATATGCATAATTTTATTCAAAATAAAAAAATTACGTATGCGTAAAGAATCTTCACACCGATCACTTTTTTTGCAAGAAAAATTCTCGATCATACGTGGACATCGATATATATACAAT